TTTTTTTTTTATAAATGTTACTCTCGAGAAGAGCACAACAAATTTCGGTTTCACATTTTCAAGCAATATCACATGTTATGGAAAAATTCAATTCTATAATTTTTATTCTACGTAGTATTATATAATCCATCTATATAAATCTAAAATCCTAATTTGTATTTTTTTTATCTACACTAAGAAAAAAATTTGTGGTGTTAAATTTTAATAAATATTTCTTTGAAGTGTCCTAATGGAATATTTACTTATGGTAAATAAATATTTAGATAAATGAAAAAAATGATAGTTGATTCAAACTAATGATTCTTAGATCTAATAAATACGTCTTTACATTTATTAAATGTTTCGCTGGAACTATTCAAAGAAATATTTATTAAAATTTACTAAATTTTTTTATAGTGAATAAAAGTACCAAATAAATAGTAATTGTTTAATATTGAATATGCGTACATATTTTTATTTTTCTCATTAGAACTTCTAATAATTCCTTCTCAGATTTCTAATTATTGTTTTATTTTGTTAATCTTATTGGTAATGGGTTACAATTAATTTTTTAACAACGAATTTTTATCATTTTGTTTCGATCATTTATTTGCGATTGGCCGCTAAGTCGATGTTACACGATACTGAGCATGCGCATAGCTGTAGCCAATAAAATTTAAGCATGTACTCCCCCCGCATTTCAGAATAACCCCCCCTCGCCTATCTTCGGAGCTAATGCTCTGTCCCTATATTTCTATGTCCATGACTAGAAATCGGTCCGAGATATCGGATGAAGAAAGAATTAACAAATCACATTTGAACAATTTGGTCACATGACCAATGTAATTGGTCAATTTTTCCTTCATCCGAGATCTCGGACCGATTTCTAGTATCGTGGACACAAGGCTTTATTGTACCATGGGAAGGACGTCTACATCGAGAGCGTACTCTGTGACTACGGATGCAACGTTAACACGTGTTAGGTAGAGTACGTTTTACTTGTAGAGAGAGAGAAGACGTAGTGGCTCCTCGCTGGCAACGCAACGAGTCTTCGTCACCGACCCGTAAGATCAATTTAACGTTATTATCGATCACGATGGCGTATTTACGCTGCGATGCAGCTTTCGTGTCGCTGTCGTTTACGCGCACGGCGTTTCCGCGATCCGAGTGTATATGCATGAGGCGCGATCTGTCTACGGCGACGAGATGCAGACGTCGCGCGCACTTTGGGAAACGGCAGCTATCTGCCTTATACGACGGTAACGGCGGTGATCCAGCGTCCCGCTTAATCGCGATCGTGCGACGTCGCCGGAGAGTGTTCTCGCCCAATCAGCGACCCAGGTCGACTCCGGGTGTTCCCGCCTCTTCCTAACCTGTCTATAGCTGCGCTGTAACTGCATAACCTAGGACTCTCGTGCACACGCCTAACATATTGCGTCCTGATTTCCCGTGCTGGCGCGATCGGTCGCGCGGATGACGCAACGGCGTTCCCGATCACGTGGCATCGGTCGCGTCGACGTCGACCCGAATGAGAAACACGTGGCTGCGCGTCGCGTTGGGGAACGCTGTGCGGCGAAACGCAGAGACCGTGTCTTTCGGAGCGGGGCTTGGTTTTCGTCGCGCTGGAAAGTGGAGCATGCTCTCTGGCCCGTGCTCTGGTTCCACGTGCCAATGTAGAGCATCCCAGGTAGGGCATGATATATTCTGAGAATATTTTGAAGATATCCTGAAAATATCACAAGATATATATATACTCAGGATATTTTTATTTTTACTTATTTCTTGTTCGAAATCAATAATCAAAATATTTCCGAAACATCCACAGAATATCATGTGCTATTTGGGATTACCAAATGGGTTGGACTGGAAGGTGGAATTTGCTTTCCAATCGAGAGCATTGAGTCATATTTATAGTTACTTTCCATCTACATCAAAACTCAAGTAATTCTGATTTGTGACATGATAACTCAGTTGAATGCACGTTCCTTTTAACTCTAATAAGATTCAACCGAGTTTTTACTTACAATCTACGTAAGCTCGAGCGCATTACTAAGTTTTTTTGTTATCTTACCTTAAAAGTGAGGTTTACAAATTGCGATAACTTTATCACCAAAGTAGTGATGTCGTCTATAAAATACTAAGACTTAAAGTACTAGAATTAAAATATTTACATAATTCGAAACTCAGTATTACTTGTGTAAAAATGGAAAGTAACTTACATTGCTACATTTATATTTACTGCCACACGAAAGCTGGAATCGGCAAGAAGTGAGCCTATCTATATATCAAATGTCATCCCTTTCTGCTTCGGAGCAAGAAATTTTTTACCTGCATTGGGGCCTGCATTCCATCCTGATAAGCCGACTCCATAAATCTTGAGGCAAATTATTGAGATGTATTATAAGACCAGCTAATCGTTTCTTTTTTTTTTCTGTTTGTGTACAGATTGTAGCAGCATTAACAGAACACACGGATTACGTAACAAATTGTTCAGCGACGAAAAATTGTGCAACCAAGATCCCAACCATTCACTCCGGAAACATAGATCTTAAGAAATTCAAGCGTTGCGACGGTGCAGAAGGGCTCTATGTGCTCCACCGTGACTTGGGCGAATGGTACTTTAGTTTCCAAGAGCTTGCTACTGTGGTACCGCGAAAGGTGCGTCCAGGCCTGTAATACGAGTGCGCAACAGCGACAAAATGCTCAACGAGATCAAGGCGGCGGTACTGTTCTTAGTAAATCTGATCGAAAAAAGCGAAAAATTTAGTCCCGATCAATTGGAATGTTTCAAGCGGCACCTGGTCGAACTGCTGACGGAACGCTTTAAAAACCACTGGTTCCCCGATAAGCCGTTCAAGGGCCAGGGCTACCGTTGCATTCGCGTCAATGGCCACAATCGCCGGGACGCGACCTTGGAAAGTGCCGCGAACGCCGCTGGTGTCAAGTATGAGGATCTGGCATTGCCGGTGGAATTGACGCTGTGGGTCGATCCCAATGAAGTCTGCTGTCGATTTGGCGAGAGCAAGGGATCGTACTGTACGCTTGCATCATTCGATGACAAGGAGAACACCGTACCCATTTTCCAAGCCGAGCATAATGAGAATACAGAGAATGAGAATAAGCCAGGCTACGTGGGGTCCATTAAGTTACAGGTGAGTATTGGATAAATTAAAACAGAATTTTTATTAATGTTTATTCGGGAAAATTGATTGTCTTAGAAATATTTAGTTTTATCAATTTATAAATTATTTTATACTATTTCAATTGTGCAAAATGTTTGCAAAATATCCGCCCGATTTACTTATCATGTACTATTGATATGTCAAGTAGGTTGCTATTATAAAAGTAATAAAACTATTGATTTACGAAGAAATCAATGTTGAAGAATTGAAATTACTAGTTTTTGAAATAATTACACTGCTTTATAAACTTTTAATAATTTTTAATGTGTATGAAAACGAAACAATTTTTTTGTATTTCAGGATGCTGAGTTTAAATCTGTCGATAGAAAAATTATATCAGGTCGAATTTTTAAGATATAGCATATCATTTTTAAAATGTAACATCAGTTTTTAAACCATAGCATTTCTTTTCGAATAGTTTGAGTCCAACAAGTGATAAACGTTTCTACTACGATTTAATGATAATTGAAAAATATTAGGCGCATTGAAACAGAAATATTGGA